TATAATCTAGAACAAACAGACTCGATATATATATAATCTGTTAGAAAATGGTACCAAAGGACATAAACCATTGACCATTTCTCAGCTACTGGTTTAGTTTAGTGCCTATGTTAAATCAAGCTTCTTGAACTAATGCTTCTTGTTTCCTCTTAAAATAACCTCAAATTAAGAGAACAAGTTTCAAGAGCATAATTTTTTTTTTTCCATGACAGGGTCTCACTACATAGTAATTACTGTTACTGACCTAGAACTCGCTATGTAGCCCAGGCTGGTCTCAAACTCAGCGATCCTCCTGCCTCAGCCTCCCCATAGCTGGGATTATAGGCATGCGCCACCACGCCCGGCCTAGAGCAGAGTATTTTTTTTTCCATTGAGCCATGGGAGAGTGAAGATGCTGGCCTCATGACCAATGGCCCTAAGACATTACTGCGTATTTCCTACAAAGGAAATGCCACAACATCATCAGGACCCTGCATGAAGGTCGGGGAACTGATATTTATATATTACCAGCTCATTTCTAGTCTCCCTGGGATGCACTTCTTAGCAAAAGATCCAGCTCCGAAGCTCATGCTGCCATGTGCTGCCCAGTCCCTCAGTCTCCTGTACTCTGGAGCTGCTCCAGGCTCTCCTGCCTTTTGTGACCTTGACACAAAACAATCCAGGACAGTACTGCCGTAAGTAAGACTCGGGGGAGGCCCCTCCGGGCAAAGGTACCACAGAAGAACGGCCATGCTCTTCTCACTTCATCCTATCAGTATCTTTTTGCATCCTGATGACTTTTTTTTTTGAGAGTCTTGCTATGTAGTTGAGGTTAGCCTTAAACGCGTAGCAATCTTCCTGTATCAGCTTCCAATCATCTGCATAAAGTGGTGTTTCTCAGCCTTCTCCACTGCAAAATTACTACTCTTCTACCCTTTGTATTTGTAAGAATTTAGTGAGGCATTACCGTGGACCCTCAAGTTACAACCGACCTGGTACACAGACAACTTGGGTTAATTAGGCTAATCGAAGATTCATCTGCCTCTCGTTATCTGCACAGTGGGCTTTGAGTGGGGAGGGTTTGTTTGTCTGTTGCATTACTAGGGATTGAACTCAGGCCCTCAGGGCCTTGCACTTGCTAAGCTAAATCCCCAGCCCTGCATCTGGTAAATACCCAGATCTCAACTGTATTGACTTAGTTATCACCAGCCCTCAGGAACTAATCCACTTCATAAGTCATGGGTCCACTTACCCCAAAATTCACTTGAAACCAGAAGACACCTAAAATAGCAAAGGTAACTGGACAACAAAGGCAAGACAAGGAGCATCACAGTCTGACTTGAAATCACTCTACAAAAGCTGTTGTGATAGCTGGGCGTGGTGGCCCACACCTGTAATCCCAGCACTTGGAAGGCTGAGGCAGGAGGATTCTATGAGTTCCAAACCAGCCTGGGCTACACAATGAGTTCCAGAGCAGTCTGAACTACATAGTGAGACCCTGTCTCAAAAAAAACCAAAAAACAACAACAAACAAAAAAGCTGTTCTGATAGAAACAGCATGGTACTGACCCCCCCAAAAAAGACCCAAAGATCAATAGAACAGATTGGAAGATGCAGAAATAACTCCAAACACACTCAGCCAGCCACGTTATCTTTGACAAAGGGGCCATATACCTTCACTGAGCCTCTTCAATGAAAACTGCTGGAAAAACTGTTTTTTCACATGCTAAAGATTGAAACTAGACCTATACCTTTCACTATGCACTAACCCAAAACCAAAATGAATCAAAGATCTACATACTAAAACAGAAACCCCAAATCTGTTGGAAGAGAGCATAGAACTCTGAAAGATAAAGTAGGCAAAGACTTCATGAACAAAACCCCAGGAACACAGGAACAATCACAAAGGATCAACAACTGGAATCTCATTAAAGAGCTTTTGCACAGCAAAAGAAACCACCAACAAAGAGAAAACCCACAGAGAGGGCAAAAAATTTTTACCAGCTATTCATCAAAGGACTATTATCTATCTAAAAAAAAAAAGGACTACTATCTAGAATATATAAAGAACTCAAAAAATCAGATACTCTCAAAGTTAAAGACCCAATCTAGGAGCTCCAGAGGCGCAATCAGTTAGCCCAAGGTACTTATTTATATAAAGACACAATCCAGAGCCGGGAATTTAGCTCAGTGGTGCCACTCCCTAACTTACAAGTGCAAGGACCTGAGTTAAACCCGTAACAAAAAAAAAAGACCCAACACAAAAATGGGTATCTGAAATGACAGACACTTCTCAGATGATGAACAAACAGCAAATACATGTGAAAAAATGTTCACAATTGCTGATCATTCTAGAGGTACAAATTAAAACAATCCCACCAGGCCTGGTGGCACAGGCCTATAATCCCAGCACTTGGGCTAGGGAGGCTAAGGCAGGAGGATCACTGTGAGTTCAGACCAGCCTGGGCTACAAAGAGTTCCAGAGCAGTCTGAACTACATAGTGAGACCCTGTCTCAAAAAAAAACCAAAAATCTGAGGGGGCTGGGGATTTAGCTCAGTGGTTCTGCCACCCACCTCATCCTGAGATTTCACCTCACTCCAAAAAGAATGGTTTTTATCAAGAGATGGCTGGGGATGTAGTTCAGTAGTGCAGTGCCTGCCTGGCAAGCTCAAGGTCCTGACCTGATCTCTGGTATCAGAAAAAAGTAAAATAAAAAACAGTTTAAAGGTCTTTAAAGCCAGGTGTGGTGTCACACACCTGTAATCCCAGCACACAGAAGGCCTCGTGAGTTCAAGGCCAGCCTGGTCATGAGTTCGTAGTGAGTTCAAGACCAGCCTAAACTACATATTTGAGACTCTCTCTAAAAAAAAGCAGAACAACAACAAAAAACTAAATACTCAACATTCACTTTATACTTTAAAAAGGTCTCGGCCGGGCATGGTGGCTCACGCCTGTAATCCCAGCACTCGGGAGGCTGAGGCAGGAGGATCACTGTGAGTTGAGACCAGCCTGGGCTACATAGTGAGTTCCAGGTCAGTCTCAACTACATAGTGAGACCCTGTCTCAAAAAAACAAACAAAAAAAAGGTCTTTAAAGATAGAAACTGCTAGCATTTCCAAGAGGTATACTAATACAACGTTAGGTAGTGTGAACACTGGTGCTTGAATAATACCAATTTCAAATTTTTTTGTTTGTTTTTGGTACCAGGGATCGTGAACTCAGGACCTTGGGCTTTCGAGGCAGGTGGCGGAGCCAATGAGCTAAATCCCAGGCCCTCAAAATATTAATAGGCAGTTTCGGTAGAAGAACCAAGTAGGAAATAAGGTTGATCGGTCCTGTCCTCTGGAAGATAAAATGCTAATTTAGAAGGGCTCTACTGCAAATATTTTTCAGAAAATAAACACACCCGATTCTTCTAATTTTCTCCATGTAAGATATCGTCCCATCTGCATATTTCTCACATAAAGGTATTTTAACTTCTCCCTTAATTGAAAGAACCTTCAAAGTGTCAAGGTGAGTCCCTGTGGGTCAATGGGGAAGAAGAACCAAGGATTCCCAGAGGAGTAAAATGTTCTAGGCAATTCTTTTTAAGTGGTATGAAGGAACAGAGATGCAGGGCACAAACACTTAAAAACGGAAACATCCCATATTCACTAAACCTTTGGTATAGTTTTACCCTTTGGCTATCTTTCCTTCTTTATGCAATATTACAACAAAATCTACCCTCTATAAACTCATAAAAATAAACTCCCGCCGGGCGTGGTGGCGCACACCTACCATCCCAGCACTATCGGGAAGTTAAGGCTGGAGGAACGTCGCGAGTTTGAGGCCAGCCTGGGCTACATAGTGAGCTCATTAATTCCAAGGAAAAGCTGAAAACCTTTGTTTGGAACAGCGCCCCGCTAAGTCCCTGGTAACCAGTCGTTCCTATCTTGAGCAGTAGTGGCGTTCTTTTAACCTTACTAGATGCTAACACTCTAGAGATTTATTATCCCTCAAACTTGTAAACAGTGAAACGAGATGATTTCCACACAAAAAGTAACTAGGAAAAAAATGAAGCTAAAACGGTAAAACTGGACTTGGCTTTGGTCATGTTTGTGCTTAAGTCCCTCTGTCAAAGAAACAACCACACACACACACACACACACACACACACACACACACACAAAACTGTCTTCAAAAGCCATGATTTAAAAGTGAAAAGAAAAAAGACACACAACCACTATCCTGTAAGTTGTGTGGGCTTGGATTGGCTCCGTTTAGCTGCGATGGTTTTTCTCCTCCGCTCCTAACTACACATCCCCGGAGGGAACACACCTGCCCGGAGGAGGAGAGGGCGATACTGAGCCTAACTCGCTTCCAGGAGGGCGCTGGCCCGGCCTTGGGGAGGAGGATCCCGCCCTCGCGCCGCCCGGCAGAGGCTGAGCCGGCGGCCCC